ATGCTCTACAGAACAAGGCCAACACAGCACAGAAACGATTGAAATGATGGATGATAAGCGGCCTGTTATTTTATTGCATGTTGTATCAACATAATTGATTTTTGATTTTTGATAAAGATCCTGTGAAGTTCAAATAGATTTATCCAGCAATAAGAGCGTTGAGATATTCTTGTTGAGAATTTAAATTTCAAATGCTTTTAATCAATGAACTTAAACAATACAGTGATACACAATTTGAGACATCAGCTAAATAAGGTATTATAAAAGGTTTTAACTCTTTAGTAAAAATATAACTCTGTAGTGAACACGAACAAAACTTCTTGTTATACTGTTCACTGAGTTGGAGCCATGTTGTTTTTTAAAATAGCATTCTCCATTTCAATACCCATAAGTCTTTTTCTATTTGTAAGTATTTTTTTCAATATCGTCTCTAATTCTCGCTTTGTCTGATATGTGATCATTACTGAAAAATAATTTGAATATAAACATAAAATCTTACACTTAGAAAACTATAAACTGGCAGATATACTGCTACTTCTGATCATATAATTATTTGATTTTACAGGCAATTCTGCAATGAAATTCCGGTGACTGATGATACTCCATTCTACATTGTCAATCTATCTCACTATGCCCGCCAGTATCTCCAGTGGCTTCACTTTTTAGGTCGAATACATCCATTCTACGCTGTCAAATGTAATCCGAACGGATTCATCGTTCGAATTATAGCTGAAATGGGCGGTGGTTTTGATTGTGCTTCAGTCGAAGAACTCGATCTCGTGCGTGCAACATGTGGCGTCGATTTTGACTATGCAGCACGTATCATTTTTGCCCATCCGTGCAAGAGTGTCTCTCATATAAAACAATTTCGCGAGGCGGGTGTGCGGATGACAGTGGTGGATAACGAAGATGAGCTCAAAAAATTAAAGGAACATTGGCCTGAAGCGAAAGTGAGTCGTTTTTTCGACGTTTTTTTTATAGATCTGATTGGCAGTGAAAGTAGGTCTTGCAAAACAGTATGAAAAAAAATGGTACATATTTGCAGTATTCTGTTGATTTGAAGATCAAATTTCTTGAGCTTCCTCTTACATATCAATTTGAGGGCTTTTAATAAAACTCAACAACATGAAACATTACCTCAGTTGCGGGATTAGATTTCGTTTGTAAAGAAGCTCAATCGTAACAGCTACAACTCTTGGAAAGCTCTATCATCCACCTATGACTTTGTATAATCCGATAAAAAGTGTAGCTAAGTCAAATCACATTTTCTGATGTTTTCAATTTGAAGATCAATGATTTGTCTCTTTCGTTAGTTCGAAAAGCAGCGAAAAGGAACCCTCGTTTGTTATCAAGCATCAATAAGTTCGAAATCACGTGCTATCTTCGCCCGGTGTCTTATAAGTCAGCGGATATTTTATTCAAGCCGTACGTTGATGCTTATACAACTATATGAAAAAGGTCTCTACCTTGAGATTGTAACATATAACAGTGAACAGGAATATTGTAGAGAATTGAATGTTCTATTTTTTAATAAGATGATTTTTTCGATTACTTATAAAAACTAGACTGTAACTCGAATAGAACTTGATTAGATAATACTCACATAGAGGAAACTACATACCAGCGTCACACGTTTGTTTGCATTGCCGCCTATAATAAAAGTTTTATCTCATACTCGCAACTAAGATTTGGCTCAGCGAATAGTACAGACGATTCAGACGAATCGGCTCTATCAAAGAGCATTTAAATTAACTCAATCATCTCAGTTTCAACACCAACGTATGTTTGTGCTCTAACATTTTTTTCATGCTCAGAATCTCTTGAGAAGAATGGATCCTTCTCCGTGGAAATTTTTAGCTAATTATTCTACAAAAATTTGTTTTTTCAAAGGTTCTTCTTCGTCTCAAACCCGACGATAAAGGTTCTCTCAGTCCTTTCTCAACGAAATTCGGCGCCAACGAACTTGAATGCATTACTCTACTGCGAATGGCTCGTCTATTAGGCGTTCAACTCGTTGGCTGCTCGTTTCACGTCGGAAGTAGATGCCTTGATGCACAAATCTATACGCAATCTCTTCGGCTAGCTCGACGTCTTTTTGATATTGCTGGTCGGGATGAATTTGGTTTTGACTTCAAGGTATTGGATATCGGTGGCGGTTTTTCAGGTCACAACTGGGACAAACCGAGCTTTCCTGAAGTGGCCAAGTTGATCAACAAGACGTTGGACAAGCTGTTTCCTGAATCGGAAGGTAACGAAGCAATAACAGATCTATTGAACATGACTAAACAGTAGTGTCAAACTTGAAACTTGATTTCAATTAAATTCAAGTTTCAAATTTGACATACGTATATGCAGATCCAGCAAAACATAGAATATCTAGGAAATTTATCAAAATCAGATTAGAAATGAGAAAGAATCACACATTACGAAACGTTGTAGTAACTTTTATTCCAATGCTTGTTTATATGATAGGTATCACTCTTATGTCAGAGCCTGGCCGTTATTTTGCATCTGGTGGCATGACATTGGTTGTTCGAATCATTGCTCGTCGTATTCACAATCAGAATTACAAATCTCAAGAAGAAATAATTAAACTCGAACGTTCATTCTCTTTGCCAACAAATTCACTAGTACAAGCAGCCAATACTGATCAAAGTGCAATGTCTGAACAGGTGCTCATTGAATGTGCCGAAAATATATACTATATCAACGATGGTATCTATGGAACGTTCAATGCTATCATTTTCGACCATAAAGTATTCACTGTCCACTATCTCAAAATAGGAGAACAAGAAAGCAATCCTGAGCAGTATAAATCGGTGATTTTTGGACCAACGTGCGACTCTATTGATTGTATTGCTCATTCAATTGATCTACCGTTGTTGGAAATCGGTGATGTGCTGTGGTTTCCAGATGCAGGCGCATATACCAGTGCGTGTGCATCAGATTTTAATGGGTTCAAAACGAAAAAATGCATGTTTATTTGGAAGGGTTAGATGTTGTCTATTAAAAATAAATAAACTAGGCATTGTCTTAAAATAAACTTGAGTGCGAGAGTCAATACTCATACGTGCAGAGCTCAATCACAACTATAAATCAGTCTTTGTATGAGAAAATCAAAGGTGCACCCTCGTCTTCAATAAAAATACAGGGAATGAACTGTACTCATTTACGTAATAATCACAATTATTGAAATAGATATTCGACGATATAGTCTATTTCGTTCCTTGAAGGGTGTGGATATGGGTGTTAGCATTGTTGAAAAAATGACGACATCCACACCCTCAAGATAGTTATCTGCTACATGATGTTATGTACAGATGAACTATATATATATATATGAGTGAATTGCAACTTTTTGGTACGATTGAATTTTAGCTATATTTTTTGAATAATGTTTTTTCTCTTCAGCCGATTTGGAGAATTTGTTTTACAATGCAGTAGTCCCTAAGTGTCCATCTCATACTATAGGTGACTTATGAAAGATACATTGCAAAAACAAACGTCATTTAGGCACTTGTGTATTTTTATGTAGAGCTAGCGGTTTTCAGACTATATGAAAAGAAAGAGAACTTTTCAAGTAACAACCTAGTGAAAAAACGTTTTTATTTATCAATTTTATTTGTG